ACACAACTTGGGAACACTAAGCTAAGCAATGAAACTTATTATTCCTCTTAAATGTAAACCAAATACCGATTCGTCCACTGGCCTCTTGTCACCTTCTCCCTCTCGAGCATCTACTTCCAAGTCAATAGCCCTCGCTGAAAAAATTTTGGAAACTCTTTTTGAGGGTCTTCCATCAACGGTTTTTAGCACTGGTTGATGTTTTTTGTGGTAATCTATTGGCCCCTCCTTGCAGATTGCGTCTTCGTTACTATGATTAATTGTTTCACTAGAAACTGATGTTATTTCACTTCCACAACCGGATAAAAGATCTGGCGTTTTCAAGGCACCAGATATACCTAATCTTCTTTCAGGACGACGCCTAAAAAGTATTCAGCTAGAAACAACAAGGGTTTGACAATGGAACCAACTCCCTACGCATTAATACTTCCTTAAAAAACGTTTCAAAATTCAAAACGTGATTTAAAAAATACAAAGTACGACACAATCCAGAAACGTTCTCACAAAATCTAATCAAACCAAAACCCCGGTAATTCTCTAAATTTGCATCTCCACAAAAACATGACCAAGTTATTACCAAAAGGTTCTGCTAGGAAGCGATGCAGACATTTTATCCGATATAACTTGGGCACGAGACAAAACCTTATCGGAGTTACTAACAGCCCGTGCAACAGGAGTTCTGGTATCGGCAGACCACCGTTCCGATCTGCATATGAAAGGCAACTTTTTTACTTCCTGAAATGAAAAAAAGTAAAACGTTAATCAAATATGAGTTGTCAAACAGAAAAGAAAATAGAAGAAACCTTTGCCGGAGTGCTAATTTTTTCTAACTGCTGCAATATAGCCAGTGTTTTACTGCTTAAAGTTGAAGAGTTTGAACTTGGCGTTTTAGAGATTCGAGAATGTAAAAGAGACGTGGCACGCGGAACTTCAGGTGTAAAACTAAAGGGATTAACAGATCTGTCCAAAAGAGATCGGTCAATCTGAGGCTGTAAAAAAACGTTGTTTAGAACACTGAAGAAACACGAAAAAGGAACGGAAAAAGAGTAAATAAATTCAAGAATATCAGCTGCATGCTGTCATCAAAATAAAGTAATTTTCAGGAAGCAAATTTAAAATAAGTACCGCAGTTTCGCTCAAAAAACGGTTTGAGTTGCATGCTCTTTTAAAAGAAGAATTGCTAAAAAGCGATGCATCTAAAGACATATCCTGGTTAGCTAATCTTCCATTACTTAATGTCTTCGTCTCGTCAGCCATAACTTTCGAAAACATTCTCTTCCTCTAAACAAGATTGTAGACAGTAATTGCTAAGAAAATTGCGGAAAATGTAAAAAAAAAAAGTTAAAGGTAACAAAACAACAAGGACTGGAAAGTTGCCAGAAAAACGATTTAATTCGCGGCATGACGTGTGATGCAAGAACTTTACAGAAACCGAAGTATAAAAAGAATCCGTCGATTTTTTCTGAGGAGACTTGATCGAATTCATTAAAAGAGTGGGACTGAGGTATCGTGTTGAACGCGGTTTTGCAGTCACATCTTAAAAAGTGCCGAAAATGAGGATGATTATCCAGAAGTTTTAACTGTATTGATTTCAAACAAAATTTAGTAAACTACCATTACTGCTTGTTGTCGGTTTGTCCGGCGAAAATTTAGACACAGCATCTTCAAATCGATCTAACCCCTCAAAATCACTGTCGGCCTGAACTTCTGTGAACGAATTATGAACAGAGTGTTCATCCTGTAGGGGAGGTCGAGACCAAAACCCAGATAAATTTCCAACAACTGAAGAAAACCACCCGCTTTTCCGCCTTTCAGTCATTTTATTTACAATATTTAATCTACTGAACCTAAAAAGTGTTTTCATGCCTGTCGCCGTCATTAAAAAGAAAGGAATTTGAACAAACAAATCCACCAACTACAAATTACATATATCAAAATAAGCTTCAATAGAAAGTTACACAAATTGGAACTGTGAATTACGCGCCACAATCCACAAACGTTTGAAAAAAAATTTAAATCATCCTCTACTAAAGATAAAAGACAGAACGCCACGAATACTCCAGAAATCTTTAAGGAACCAAATTGCGAATAAACCCACACAGCGCAAGTACATTAAAAAAATCCCACACGAATACTTGTTATCTAATGGTAAATCACTATGACTTCAAATTTTCCAGATGAAGTGCAGACAATTTGCAGTTAAGAAAATCAAGGTAGCGGGAGTCCAAAACGTTAGTTGTTGCCTACTTAGTGAAACCATAGCGATAACTGAACTGCAACCAAAATGAAGTTTTCGAATTTTGAAAACGATGATTTCTCAAGCAAAATTCCTATCAGTTTTGATATTTGTTGTACGAACAAACGTTTTATTTTTTATTTTGTATATACACTTGATAAACAAATAAAAATTGCAACATGTAGCAACCATTCCACAAACAAAAAACACCCATTCATTCAAAAATAGAAAAATTTTAAAGTTCTTTACATTAAGACCAAAACTGGATTTGAACTAATCTGCTACAACGCTATATAAGACTGGCTATATCTCTAAAAATCTAGTGCATCTAAATAAGCATATAAAAATGCAACCAGAATAGACGAAAAAACTACTACTACTAACTTAAATAAAGGATGTCCCAACAATTTCCGAAACAGAAAATAAATAAAGAAAGAAACAGAAAAATAAAACGTACCTATCGTATGGGAAAAGAAAAGCTGACATAAATCTCTAAATCCCTACTACTCGAAAAAAAAAAAAAAAATGTGACCAACAAAGTTTACATTCTAACACAGGTCGTCAGCAGGCCTTATGTAAGCTTGAACTAACAAAACCGCAAAAAATTAAGACTTGCAAAAAAAAAAAAATTTTTTTTTTTCAAGGTGCACCTACAAACTCTTAAAATTTGTAAAAAAAACGTTAGGCACACTTACTGATAGCTGCCAAGTAATATTAATTTCGAAAAACCTTACCAGGATGTATTCAAACGACATCCTCGAAATAACCAGAACCAAGAAATATTTGAAAAGCTTCCTTTTTTTTTTTTTTTTTCAGCAGTAAAGAAATGAAGAAAATGTTGAAGTGAAAAAAAAAAAGTATTTTCAACAATGTTTTAATTACATTAATAACCCACTTAAAATTTTTTACTGTCGTGCCAAAATCTTTTCTTGGCGGTTAACTAAAGGTGTTAAACAAAGAATGAAAAATGAACAAAAAAAAAAAAAAAAATCGAAACCAAATATAAATCGGAGAAATTACTTAGTAGAATCGAGAACTATTTTCTCTTTTTTTTTTTTTCTTTTTTTTTTAGATCACAGCTCAAGAGTGTACCAAATGTATACAAAGACACTCGTGCACACAAACAGTTGTTCAGTCAGGTATAACACTGTAAAACTTAGCTATGCGGTTATATAAAAATATAACAAAAACAACAATAAATAAATAAATAAACTGACGAAAAACAGCCAAGTCAATAAAAGTATAGATTTGAAATTGAATTGCATTCATCAATAAGCGTAGATTGATAAGAAAAAACTATGTATATACATGTGAATATACGCAACACCTTAAAAGCAACAGCAACATTTTAAGATGACCTAAAAACTTGAAATTAAACATATAACGGGGGCATCGAAAACGACTGAGATTTAAGAGAGGGAAAAAAAATATGCCCTGGAAACCATAGCGCGCACAACTGTTGAGGCGCGCAATTACAGTAACATTTAAATTCGCGATCGCAACAGCAAACATGAACATCAATAGCGCAATTGCGTGCGATCGATAGTCGTTTGTTGGTTCAACTGATGCGGCAGTCGTTCCTCAATTTTTTTTTTT